TCAAATGCCTTCTCAAAGTCTAGGAAGACCACATGGACTGGTACGTTCAAGTCCCAGCATGATGTCCAGTCGTCCCAAGCTGACAGTAGGTTAGTGACGCAGGATCTGCCTTTTCTGAAACCATGTTGGGCTTCATGTAGTATATTAGTCCTATCGAAATATTCCCTGATGTGGTCGTCAATAATACTTTCCAGTACTTTTGATACCACTGGGAGTAGAGCTACTGGTCTATAGCTAGCAGCGTTTTGCCTGTCCCCACCCTTGAAGATTGGAGAAAGGATGGCTCTTTTCCACTCCCTTGGCAGGGTCCCCGAATCCATTGAGTGTTGGAACAAGTCGCACAGGGGTCTACAGAGAGCCTCGGCGCACTGTTTCAGAACAGATGGCCTGATGTCATCACAACCTGGGGACTTCCCAGGTATGAGTCGCTGTAGCTTCCTTAGTACTATTGCGGGGTTTATTTGGGGAGTAGTCGCTAGGTCTTCCTCCTCTGAAATAGTGGTGCCACCATTTTGGTCCGTAACTGTAATATCCACATTGCTGTTTAGCTGTTTAGCGAAGGCTGAACTGAATGTTTCAGCCATCTCCAGACTAGTGAGATATTGACCGTTTGGGCCTACTAAGGCGCATGCCCCTTGGTTTGTCGGTTTTCTTTCCGACATGAATCGGTACAAGTTTTTAGGGTTTGATAGGAGTTTTTTAGCAAGGTTAGCCTGGAATGACCTTCTGTCCCTCCTGACTCTTGCATTACACCGGTTCCTGAGTTCGAGGTATGCATCATGGTCGGTCTGACTCTTAGATACACGCCACGTAAACCAAGCCTTCCGCTTTGCTTGCAGAATACGTTGCGTGCCTCTCTTCAACCATGACGTCTTTCTCTTGGGCTGTGTTGTGACTAAAGGGACGGTATCCGAGATTGCTGTATGGATAATCTTTTTTACCACTTCCCAGTGTTCATCCACAGATAGGTCGTCCCATGCTAAGGGCCAGTCTGTGCCGGACAAGAGCCTCCGCATTTCAGCATAGTCAGCCTTGCTGTAGCACAGACATGGTCGCGTAACATCCCATTGCAAACGCTCACGGAGGACAAGATCGAAACCTATGACTGCATGGTCACTGCTTCCCAGAGGAGTCATGATCTGGACCTTTTCGACGAGTAGCTGGTCACTAGTTAGAATATAATCTAGTTTTGATGACTTTCCACTAGGGCCCCACCTAGTGTCGTCTCCAACATTCTCAGTCAGTTCCGTGTTTCGAATAGTTTGCAGTAGGTTTCGGCCAAATTTTCCCTTAACATACCCCGAGCCATAGTTCAGTGATGGGGTATTGAAATCTCCAGCTATGGTGATTTGGTCGTAGCCCAAATCTCGTATCCCTGTGATAGTGCTGAGCAGTAGCTGATCGTGCTCTGCCTCATAGGTGGGAGATCGGTAGATGCCACCCAGTAAGTGCTTGGTGTGGCCTACGGTGAAATGACACCATATGGAGTCTGGGAGTTCAATAAGTGGTGGGTCCGTTGCGCGCACACATTTAAGTTGCCTATCAAAGAATATAGCAACTCCCCCTCCTTCCTTATTATCCCTGTCTCTCCTGACCAGAACCGTATCACCTATACTGATTTCATTGTCGGCGATAGTGGGGTTTAGCCACGTTTCAGTAAGAATGATCATTTTCAGTTGAAGGTGTGCTTGGAGATTTCGGAGTTCACCTACTTTTCCTCTCAGCCCCCTCACATTGCTATATGGGCAGCTGACAGTGAGTCCAACAACCTCAGAGTGTTGTGGGGTAGTTGACGTGAAACTGTATGCTGGTGGGGGACTTGATGTTGGGACTAGTTGACCGATTCCGACAGAACCGGCCCGTTGTAGTTTTCTTCAATGGATTTAGGCAGGACGCCTGGGTGACACAGACTGTCATTCTCAGAACTGCATCGCTCCAGTGTCACTGAAGCTTGGAGACGTATTAAAGCCTCAGTTTGCTGCCTCCTTATAGTCCGGGGTCTGCTTTCGCAGCATTGGATGTGTCCTCCTATTTTCCCTTGGTCTCATACCACCGTTGAAGTGCTATGGACAACTGCTCCAGGGAGTTGAATGTGACACTTAGCAGCTTTGGAGAGTTAATCGGTGTTAGATGAGCGGGGAGAGGTAGTCGGGAAATGGAGATGGCTCCAGAAGCGCCTGGGGCCATCTTAGATGACAGCCATCTCCATTGCTGTACGTCGTGCATGTGTTTTTCACAAGCAGTGCCGGTTTCTAGCTCCGGAACACCGTGTGCCACCATAGAGTTAGAAGGCATCGGTTCCGGTGACTCCCTCGCCGTTGTCTATCTTGTCCCACCCTTATGTTAGAACTTCTGTCCAGGGCTACCACCTGAGCCATTAATAGTATTTTCTCAGCCTCTTCGGCAGAGTCCAGTGTAACCCTTTGTGGGGGTGGCTTACCCTGAGGCGTGTGGACACCCCTGTACAGCCTGCACAGCCTTGCTGAGCTAATGTTCAGACCTAGTTTATTGCACAGGTTGGACCACTGTTCCTGATCAAACAGGGCCCGTTGTTCGAGCCAGCTATCCTTGCTCACAGGTACGTTGAAGAGGATGAGAGAGTTAGACCGACTAACCCCAGACTTAGGTTGGACCTTCGGCTTCTTGCATTCCTTTGCATCGTCAGCAACACTAGGCTCCATCGGTATCTGGCCAACCTTTTTTGTGTTGCCAGCCTTGCTAGTGGATACAAGTGGTGCTTTTGTAACTTTGCCTTCCCCTGATCTGGGTGAAACCTTGCGAATCTTCACCCTCTGAAAATTGGCATTTCCGGTCAGTAGGACTGGTGTGTCCTTCTTAATGTCTTTGCCAAGTTTTGGCGGTGTGATGTTAGCAGGGGGCAGCTGCATGAGACTGTGTTGGGACACAAGAGAGGTGTGTTTTTTCTGCTATCCGCAGACACACTTTGTGGGACTATGCCAGCAGTTGAGATCTTTTAGGCGGGCTAGGGTAGATATGTTGATATGTTTTTCTAGGTTTTTTTGAAACTGTCAGGCCTTTCATTGGATCTAATCTCAGAGGGTAGTTGGTTCAAAGTTTGCAATATTTATTGGTGAGGAAGTTAACTCTAGTGGTGAGTTTATGGGTGTTAACCTTGAGAGGTAGTCATGGTTGCGTAGTCCATACGATTTAGGATTAGCCCACGTTATGGATGCATTACTGTTACAGTACTTTCTTATAACTTTGAGTAAGAGAAATAAATTGCACTTCACTCTCCTTAAACATAAGGGTTCTAAGTCCAGTCGAATACATCTGTCAGAGTATTCTATTTGTTGATCATAGCCTAATATGCGCTTCGTGAGGAATCTCTGGACACTTTCAACTTTTTTTCTGTCTGCTGATTTAAAGCTACTGTATAAGTGGGCACAGTATTCAAGTTTGGGGCGAATGCATATCTTATATATAGCTAATCTGGCTTCTGGAGTGTAAAAGTTGCATAGCACAAAGCCGGTTAGACGTTTACAGTCAGATACCACCTTATTTGCATGTTCAGTAAAGGTAAGATCTGAGTATGTTACCCCGAGATCTGTGACTGTGTTCGTGTTTGAGACAAGGTCACCGTACATGTATAGACACATGCTTGGTTTCCAACGTCCGAAGTATGTTATCCCAGACTTAGCTGGATTGAACGTTAACTGCCACTTTTCACTCCAATTACATAGACTATTTAGGCCTTGTTGGATTTTACTAGCAATATTCATATCATTATAGTCGAAATCATAGACAGCTTTGAATTTATCTGCCAAAAGGTACGGCTTGCCATACTTGATGATAGAGACAATATCATTTATGAATACAATGAAGTCGCAATAATAAAAAAGCCACGCAGACGACAGTCAAGCACCAAACAATAACACAAAAAAGCATTAAGCAATGAGACTGAATAGGAAACGCATCGCTAGGGTAGAGACAAAATAAGACAGGCAAGTGTCACATCGATGCGAAACAAGTCAGAAAGAATATTAATTGTGGATTTAGTAGTGACACTTAACATCAGTACGGTGAATAGATATCTCGGAAGGAATTTTCAGACCATCAATTCTCCTTCACAACAAGTGTTCTGTGCACAGTGGAAAATAGAATGGCGATTGTAATTCATTGCAACCAGAGATGTGTACGATTAAAAGAATCTGAAATAGTATTATCTAACTTTCTCGATACTATCTAATTATCATCTGCCTTCAAAACCAATGTGACTCTTTATGCCATCTGTACTTCTTTAGCTTAAGTCACATTTTACCGTCTTAGTCGTTAGAAAACTATACGCCCACTCTGTAGCTGTTCAGCTTCTGATGTATTCGTCACACGTAAATCGTGTATTTAAGCATTGGCAAATGGCATACTAAAAGGTAACCGTCGCTGAATGTTAGAAATATATGTACCTTGGTAGTTATTCCAAAAAGCATACGAACATATTGCAATAACCTGATTGGAGTGGGCGACAGGCATCATCAACTAGTGATCCACTCAAATAAAGAATAAAATATTTATGAAGATATGACCACTGAAAATGAGGTCATTCTTTGGCATTGAATAGCATTCAGCATTCAAAGGCGTCTTTTGGGGTTGTTGGTTTTAACAGCAATTTTCGACGAAAATGTTTATGAATGAGAACAACGTGTTAAAAATTTGAGAGGCATTGTTACTTGAAATCAAGTGAAAGAGCAAAGCGTTAGGCGCTATTTACGAAGTTTTGCGGTGTAACCGTCCATCCTTACTATATAGTGGTTTTGTAGTATTTTTTATTCAGAATATTCGATAGTTGACGTGAAACTATATACGATAATTTCAGTTTATTTTGGAATTGGTGTTACAGAATAGTCTAGACACATAAAAGCCTCCTGATACATATATACTTATATGCGGAACAGGTGTTCATTTGTCATCGTTTTTCTGCTGTTTTTAGATGACTTTTTCACTGTTGTAGCAATATAAATGAGTCTAAACTACAGCAGCCCGAAACGAATTTACCTCTGGCTAATAATCTGATTCGTAAGGAGTAGAAGTGCGTAATGTGAAGTAAACGTTTTAATACAAGTAATTTGACGTTTTAAAATGGTTAAAGACGATATCATTCTTCTATATGTCCCAAAGAAACCTCCCAGCTTCTCTTAAGGGTCCTCATACCGAGGCTAAAGAAATTTGTGGACTTAAATTCGTCAATATTGACATTTGTCATCGATCCTCTCATTAGGTAGTTTCGTTTTGGGCTGCTATTGTTCCAGCACCTGAAAGCTTTCGGGTTATACTGAAAAACATAATAAGAGCAATAAAAGGGTCACGAAAATTGCTCTTCTCCAGTCACCTAGGTGAAAACATGCACAGAAACTGGTCTGGCTTATAAACTGATAATCCGGAGTTATTTTTAAGTCATGTCAGAGACACCTGTTTAATGTGCTTCCATGCATTGTCATGTACAAAAACGTCAGTTTTTGTGTGAAGATCATCTATTTTTATGATTTATCGGCTCAGGGTCACTTGTGGGTTCGTATAGCATGGGACGTGATACTTTAACTGCAATGTTTGCCTTTTAATAATTACATTCTGTCTTATTATTCTTTTGCCTTTTACACTTACCTTACCAACCCATTTGCTCTAAACTGGTGCCGAAATAGTTGGCATTTGCGAGTGAATTATATTAAGAATGTTTATAAATTCTCACGGAATATATATATGATTTCTGGCCATGTGATGTAGTAGATCAAAAACAAACGGTTTATTAGGACTGTGACTTGGGATCTCTTCTGTGACCCGAAAAGGCTTCACAACATTCACGAGAAAGCCCAGTATTAGGTGAGGTGTTCATGTGTTTGTCAGAAAGATATATATTGGGATTATAATAAGGCTCCTGTTTCTCGTCGTTTGTAAACAGAATACACACGAAAAGTACTCTTAAGTATGTGAATAAGTAAATGGTGTAGTGTGAATGTTAAATATAAAAACAGCGAAAGCTGTGACTTGTGGGTTCAGTTATTTCACTTTCAACCTATGTGTCACGCCTTAAAAGCCCACTTCACTTACTGAAGTTTGGGCATCCGGATAGTATTGTCTCTTCATTCCCTGGGTTTGGGTTGTTGCTAAGTCCTGATCTATGTAGTTTTTGGGTAACCTTTCATTTACCTTAGTATCTGAGTAAAAGGCGCTTTACTAGTTATTCGACTTATTAACTTATTCATTACTCAGAACTGCTTGTCTGAGGTCTTAACAAGGGCAATTATTGTCGTGCACACAAGGTATGGATCTAATAATTTTATGAATTTAGGTACTTGTATACTGATAAATTTGCCTATTGCTTCATATTCCACTCATACAAAATTAATTGAAACTTAAAGCGTATCAAGCAAATTTTGGCCTGCATTATCCCGTAGCATTAGTTTACTGAATTAATTCCATCTTTATTGTTACGTTTGCTCACATGAATAACTAATTATTATTCCTGACCATCATTCTTTACAAATCTAATAGTTTCATTATGTTTTATATGAATACGTACAAATTATCCTTTCGATCTTTCCTCGTCTTTTAACTTTTACCAGTAGCATTCATTAAAATAAAACTACCAGTATCTGCACTTTACATATGTTATGTTCAATTCATTTTTCTTGTAATGAAACAGAGTATCTGAGTCCACATTTCAAGTTAAAATTTTTTTTGTAGGTTAATTGTGACAACAGTCCATGATACTCAATACTTCTGTTTGGCATGTCCATAAAATCTCAAAACACGTTTTCTTCAGCTATTCAACTGAATACCATAGATGACTACATTGCTCCCACACAGGTTAGGACCAATTTTTAGAAGCTTCATTACATTAGGCGTGTATCAAACCAGTTAAGATCGACAAGTCCATTGGAAAAACTAAGTCCATCAGGATTGAAGAAGACGGTTCTTATATTGCTGTAACTGAGGTAATGTTTTTGCAAACATGATGAATTTTCTTAGGATGGTAATAAACATGTATTACAAAAAGCATCTATCAGTCTTAATGATTGTTTAGCATGTAGTGGCTGTATCACTTCTGCAGAGACCATTCTCATATCGGAACACAGCTCATCTGTATTGTTAGAAGTTTTGGCACAAAATGAAACAAAAAGGTAGTTCTATTAGCGCACTCTAGATTTATAGATTTCTGATAGGAGTATTATAGTTTTCACATTGTCTCCGCAAAGCATTACTAATTTAATGGCTTATATATCAAACTGCCCGGAAAGTAAATTAGCCAAATGTTTCAGCTGTTCCAAATTCACTTCACCTAAACCGAATGCAAATGATTTCAGAACCTTCATCACATCATGTCTTCTTGCTATGGGAGTGCATCTGGTTATAGATATTACCTGGGCTCGCGATTTATGTCTTTACGAAGCTGGATTGGAATTCATAGCTCATTCCGCAAGCGAAAAATATGGACGTACCGAGCTATGCCACTGTTTTCCAGTATTTGTCCAGGTAATAATTCCCTTACTAGAAAGTTACTCGTTTTGTCTATCTTTACGTACAGATACTTTGTCAAAACTGGCAGCTAGTAGGATTATTTACGTCAAATACGTATTAAAACCTAAAGGGAAACTTCATCCTTGATTACTGGACTGAGCTTTTGTTTTATTATTTTATATGTTATTTACTCCTTTACGTTCCCAGTGTAACATAGGGCTTTGACGTTTCGGTAGCAGTGGTATTTATTTCTACGGGATGGAGTTGATGGCCCCACGCCCAACCTTAGCTTTTTATCAGTCTTATTACTGGCTTATTGAGGTAAAGAGGCGCATCAGCCGGATATTCAACCCCAAAACACCTGCGTGGTTGGCGAGCATTCTACCGCTGTGCCACCGGTGCACAAGCTTTTGTTTTAGAATTACTTTCCATTCTTTAGTTTATTTCAAACACGTTAAATAAAACAGGTAGCCTCTTAGAGTTTGTGTAAGCTCATATTGAGTACAGTGGAGTTTGTTTTTGAACTTATTTCTTTATAAATTAAATAAAACTGGAAAATATTGTCTTGGACCATTAAAAAAAACTAAAATTTCTCAAAACGTTTTATTCCTCAGCCATAACACCCCCATTAGAATTAACTGCTAGATAATATTTAGAATATGTACAAGCGACACATTGATGGATGAGTTCCGACCTATACATTCCGTTTTACTAGTTAACGGTTATCTGGAAAACTTTATCAGTTGTCACAGTAGGGATAGACCACATCCTGAAAAGGCAGCTTCTGTAACAAAAAACTATATTAACCTACCATTCAAGAGTGACTGAATTATGCAGTTGACAGCTCAAAGACTTCGGTAAGCCATCAAACGTACATTCTACGCTGCATCTCTTTCCCTCCCATCTCGAACATTTTTGATCTCTGCACCTAAGATTAAAGGACGAAATTCTGTAAACTTTACTTCAAACTGTATCTACAAATTCACCTGCGGTTCCGGTGACACCTGTATAGGTAGAACCAATAGAATGTTGCAATGTTGTCGGAAAGAACATGTTCCAAAATGGTTATTAAAACAGAAAATCTGAATACAATTTATGTAAATAGAAATCCATTATAAAGCACTTATCAGTGTCAGGTCACAAAATCAATATTAATTACTGCTTCACAATTATTTCATATAACTGTAATTCAAGTTTATTGAAGGTGATTGAATCACTTTAGGTTAATCACATGCAGCCTAAAATATGTGTACAAAAAACAATAGACTTCAATCTTCGCCTACCATGGACTACTTGACCTATTTAAATATGATTGGTCATTAGTATGTACTTTTGTTTTATATAACTGATTGGTTGTCATGCATTTTATTTTATTGTTGTGAACCATGTTAGTTGTAAAGCGGTTGTAAGGAAACAAAGAAATGATATCATCTCGCGAAATTTGTCTTGCAAGTACTTTATTCAAATTTATGAACAATCGTTCGGGTTTTGATTTTAATTAACGGATAACTGTAGAACGAATGTCATTTACTACTGATATAAGTATAAAACTTGGGCATTGTGGTAGAGTGTAACTCTATTATGGATAAGATTTTATTTTGATTAATCACAGATGTTATACAGTAATATTAACTGATGACGTTTTGAGCACAAACTATTGCTCATAATCATATCAAGGTGCTCACACAACTTTTTTACTTCATTTACTACTGTATTCAATATCAATTTTTATATTATTTTGAGTCGTAACTAGCTTACATTTACTTATTCATACTGCACCCACCCTTTTAAACTGTAGATATGCCAAAATGAAGGATGTATTACCGACCACTGTCTCTATTATGCATTTCTTCTACTTTCTTCTGTTGCTTTATGTGCTACATGGAATGTGGCGACTTGAACTGCCGCACATATGTGTAAAGTTCTATGTCGAAAACAGACAGACAGATTACCTACCACTGTTTAACAGAATAATGCGAAGATGAAGAGTGACTGTGTCTTTTCAGTTGCTCATGACTTATGTCACACATAGACTTCTAATATATAGGAAATAAGTCGAAAGGTTTTCTTGTCAGCACTTTATTGAAATAGATAGTAAACTGTAGTGTGCATCATGCACCTTTGTTTCACATCACCAAGATTAATACAGGCTGAGTAATCAAACGGTCCATTAATGATGTTATCATATTGTTTTAATATGTTAGGTTGTACAACGCAGACAGCTGATATTGGTTTTCAGACTATTGTTTCTAGCACATTCAACTCAGTAGTTAGGGGTCATTTGTATCACTTGTGTTTTTAAATCACTGTTCGTACTAGTAGTTTTCTCGGTATAGTACAAATAAATGCTCATTCTAGAAAGTAATTTCATGTCTTCTAAAAACTAAACAGTTGTAAGTTTGAGCGTCCTTAACATAAATAACAAACTTGATTTTGTTTTGTATATGCTTCCACTTACATTTTAGGCTGGATATGTTATGCTGAGAAAAGCCCCAGTAGCTCAGTCAGTTCTACTGAGTCCACTCACAATGAATTTTCAATCCTTCCACACATATCTAAAATACGTTCTCCTCAACAGATAGCAGGCAGGATTATTAAACTTCTTGGTGAAGAAAAGTGTTTTCATGTTAGTATTATGCCATGCTTTGACAAGAAGTTAGAAGCCTCTAGAGAAGAATTCTCAGTACAGTCAAGTGTTGCTGATTGTCGTGTTCCAGATGTTGATCTAGTTTTAGCTACCAATGAGTTACTTTACTTACTGGAGTCATTTTGTCATGAATCTGATGGTTCTGTTGTCTTTTCTCCGTCTACGCACGCCGCCGAACTTGAGGAAAATAACATTTTAATATTATCAAGGTATGTATGCATTACTTTTATTTTGTGTTTCGTTTTCAACTTAAATTACACCTACTCTTAAATTTAGACTGAACAGACTTGTTTATTGTCGTTACATAAGTAGACAAAAGACAAGTAGTTCAGCGAAGAGTCTCTTTTCGGCGAATTCATTTTCATAGCTGTACAATCGCAAATAAATATGGTTATTTTGTGTGTGTGTGTGTGTATACATTAAATTTGTCAAACGAAAATACAATTAGTAAGTTCAGATGAATTGCATGTTGATAAGAGGATAGCAACAAAAGTGATGAGTTGACAAAAACGATTGTTAAAGAGGAATAATTTCAGGTGAATTGGATGTTCATATAAGAGGATAGTAATAAAAGTGATGAGTTGTCATAAATGATTGTTAAATAAGAGTTACGTAATGGCATGAATAGTTTGATGAATGTCGTTACGTTCGTACCCGATCGGCTTAAAAGGCAATAAATTATATTGATTTTGGTCATACATAGTACCCAGATAACAACATCATTCTTAGAGTTCTTTTTCTCTTAAATGTCAATAAATCTTTATCGGTGTTGTTTAGAGTATCAAGTTAATTGAGAACATTTGTAAAATCCGCATTTCCTTTGCACTAAGATGACTGATAATAAGTTAATATTAGTGGACTAAGAATTAATGAATGCCAGTTTTTGACTGTGTGTTTGATTGAACAAACAAATCAGATGTTGAGTTCTCTTTATAGTGTATGTACTTAGAGTGCTAAATTACTCAATGCAAGTATTCAAAGCATCTGCAAAATGCATATTTAGCCGAAGTAGTTTATATTATTTTATTTTTGATTACAGCTTGATTCCACACTGTATTTTGGATCAAGTATGGAATTTTCAGCATGGATATCGGTAGCCCAAAATTTTGCAGGTCGACCATAGATATCAAGTGTGCGTCGGAGGTTGCTCGAACCTCGGACCATGTGCATGGTCGGCGATAGCCATATTTCTAAGTCTGAAAGTTTATGTTGTATAATTTCTACACAAACTTTTATGTTAATTTGCCTCTGTGAGTCGACAGTTGGCCAATTATAGATATTTCCTCAGTCCAACTTATCTTTCTTCTACGAGAATACATCAACCTTACAACTTTCATCCTTTTATCTCTTTCATTTTGACTTTTCCTGATATTATAATGGATTCTAAATAGCAATTTTTGATTATCACTTCATAAAAAATGTTACTTTTTTCTCACTGTTCATTAAAGAGTATTGTTAGAATGTATCACTATTAAGCTCATTCAGCCACCGAAATAACAGGTGATTTAGAGCCTCGCGAATAGAACTTGATGTCCCAACATACAGAGCTGAATAAATCTATCTATTTGTTTTGGTTAAGTCGGACAATATACAAGGTAGTTTTGATATTATATGTAAAATATCGGTGAAAAAGGGTGAATCAGTTTATGAAGTGGTGAATCTTCATCAGCTAAGATGACTAAGTCACTTTGTACGTGAGAAAGCGAACACTTCTCAGGTGAGGTTTTGTGGATACCAAGAGTCAATGGCTGAACAATCTTAATGACATACCGTATAGTCCGACACAATATTTTCAGGATTGTAAAAGTCTTCACTATTTCTGGTTAAATTATTCTCTCTTACACTCATTTACGGCCATCAGAGTATCATTAATTCTATTTCCGAACACCTAAACTAGTGTACTTGAACACAAATGCCGCGTTAATCTACGTTTAATGTAAAGTTCTCTTTACGTGTTATATATTATCGTTTGTCCAGTTTTTCTTTAAGCCAAATAATGACTGAGTCTGTCTGTTCTCGACATAGAACTTTACACATATGTGCACCAGTTCAAGTCGCCACACTCCATGTAGCACACAAAACCAGAGGAGAAATGCATAATAGAGACAGTAAACAAAGGTGTGAGACAAAGGAATAGTAGTAACGAAGAACAAAACAGTTTCATTGGAAATCATAAGTCACAAGGAGTGGATACATCTGCGCCATTGAGAACGATTTTGAGCCATATCGCCAATTATTTCCAACCATTGGTTTTTACTGTCCTGAGGACCCCAACCAGTCAGGAAGTCTATACCTTCCTACGTGGCTTAAACTAACTGTTGTGGACTTCGTTGACTGACGAAGCCATGTTTTAGTTTGACCGCCTCTAGCTCTTTTCCAGCCTAACCAATCCTATGTCAGCTAACATTGCCCACTGTTGAGGAAGGCGATGACTAGGCATGCGTAACACATGTTGTTGGCTGATTAGTTATACGTACATGTCAAAGGAATTTTGTGTGATATTTGTCGTATATATAAAGTCTTTCAAAATTGGTTTTACAGTTCAATTTTTTCTTAATATAACTTTCTAGATAATTCATTACTAAACTTTTGATTTGTTTGTATATTATACACCTACAGGTTATGTGAAGTATTCCATGGACAGTGGAATGTTTGTAATAGGATTAACAATATGCCTTCCGAAGCCAAAGGTGTTGTTCCTATGTATAGACATAGTGGAAGTGGTTCGGGTGGGTATGCAGCATACATTTTCAGATTTGCTGCAGAAAAATTATTCTCTATAAACTTGGATCTTAATTTATCAGAAGATGAACATGTAATAGTTCGTCAGCTACAAAATCGAGACTTACAGGTCAGAGATTGTACTTCCTATTAGTGATAAAAGTAGTATTATTCTTTCAACTGATAAATGATTTATTACGATTGATAATAAAAAATTAAAAAAAAATAAAATAAATTTATTTTGTCCGAAGTGCCCATATAAAACCTCATTTTTATAGACAGGTAGACATTGTCAACATAAGACTGTACTGATCTTAGTGTTATTCATGATTTAATGATCAACATGCCACAGAAAAAAAGGACATTTACCTGTGAATAGAACTGTTGACTTCTTCTTTAATCATGTCTTATAAGTAGTTTAGCTTTATTGCTTCTATCCGCCACTGGAATTATGTTAATAGCTGTTTCTTCAACTTTATTGTATATATTTTCATTTCTTGGCCTACTTTGTTGAATTCAGAAATATGTGATTGCTACATATTTTACTCACAGCTGAAAAACCCAACATCAACCCAACAACTTCTAAAATGAATCAACGAGAACACGAAGTTCAGCAAAGATATCTTTTCGGCGATTTCATGCTCAAAAGCTGTACAATCGCATTTATATAGATTATTTTACATGGATACAATTATTATTTGTTTAATTTCACATAGTAACGAAGGTGATAATAATTTTCAACTTGATATGAAAGTTTGAAGGTACGAATATAGATTACAAGGGGCTTAGAGACAAGATTTCATAGGATTAGAAAATAGTTACAACGTATGCAAAAATTAATATTTGATAACTGGAGAAATTACAGTTATATTCTAATTCTGTGTAATTTTTTGTTTCTATGCCTCTTGTAACCTATATTCACACATCCTAACTAACATTTCAGGTTGAAAATTTTGATTTCAATTTGTTTCCATGTTCATTTTTGTTCACACCTGTAATTCGTTCTATCCCTGCGTTTCTAAGCCTCTTGTAATTCATATCAAGTTGAAAACAATTATCACCTTCCATTTGACCTAAAATTATTTCTCCAGTTATCAAATATTAATTTTTGCATACGTTGTAACTATTTTCTAATCCTATGAAATCTTGTCTCTAAGCCCCTTGTAATCTATATTCGTACCTTCAAACTTTCATATCAAGTTGAAAATTATTATCACCTTCGTTACTATGTGAAATTAAACAAATAATAATTGTATCCATGTAAAATAATCTATATAAATGCGATTGTACAGCTTTTGAGCATGAAATCGCCGAAAAGATGTCTTTGCTGAACTTCGTGTTCTCTTCTTTCTAATGTCCATATGGGTATTTTCCACGAACTAAACAACACTTTAATCCTTTCAAGCTTACTTTAGACTTGTGGGCTACTACATCTCATTCGTTGTCTTTTTATTCGCAATATTTGTCTTCATATACCTATGGTAAATCATGGTATGTTTAGCACCTAGAGTATCCTATTGGATTTATTCACTTTCGCTTTCTCCACGTCCATCTCTATATTGAGAAAGCATTCTTCTCCATTTTTTCCTTCACTTTCCCAGTGGAACATAGGGTTTCAAGCTAGAACTTTGAAGTTTCCGTAGCAGTGTTTAATTTTACAGGATGGAGTTGCTAGCCTCATGCCCAACCTTTTCTCTTTACCAGCATTATTTCTGGTTTAGCGAGGTAAAGGGGTGCATCGGCCGGGATCGAACCCCCGGACCATGCGCATGGTCGGCGAGCGTCCTAGTCGCTGTGCCACCGACGCCCTATTGTTCTCCATTACCGTCTCACAATTGTCAGCTACATGCTGTTCATCGAATTAATTAGCTGGACTTCCAACTGATAAACTTAGAATTTAAATTCCACTCGAAATATATCTAGCTAGACAAAATGTTGTCATAATGTTGATTGCGAATTATGGCGTAGTACACATAATCGAGTTACTTTATAATCATTTTCCTTTATTACTTTTCATCTATATGAAACATAACTCATACTTGATCAATTAATTCATTAATCCATTAAAGGAAATGTTGTTGTTTAATACAAAAGATGATCGTGACTTGGCAGCATCACTGCTTGCATCCCGTTCAAATCGAATTCCTTATCGGCATTTAGAAGTAGAACCAAAAGCTCTGCTAGTATTCGCAGTGGCTAATGGATTCCGTAATATTCAAACTATTGTGCAGTATTTACGGAAAATATATCAAGTTGCCAAGTATGAACGAAAAAAGCTCAAACAAACAAAATCAATCTATCCATTCGATTATGTGGAAGTGATGGCTTGTCCAAACGGTTAGTTGAATATTAAATCTATCTCTTTGCACGGAAGATCTATAATATACAATGATTTTTAAACAAAATTTTTGCTCATTCATGTTAGCTAGAGTATGCATAGAAAACGGGTATAAATATTTGTACTATGTGTACGAAATAGGAAAATTCAGTGACAGCCTAGTTACGGTTCCCGAAATTCGCTGTAAAAATATTAAATAGTAAGATAGCAGAGTATCTGTGTCAATGTTACTCCTCACATAAATATAAACTTCATTTTTATAGGACTTATTTAACACTAAACAATCCAGAAAATCCAATAAAGCTGCAAATTTACCGTAATCATAGTATATAATCCAACTTAAGGAAGGTCATACTTCATGATACAAGGATAAAACTTAGGCACTGTGGTAGATTATAACTCCATTATGGATAAAATTTTATTTTGATAAAGTCACACAGTGTTCAAATGAGCTGCCATCAAGATTTGACAGAATAGTTTTAAAATATTTGGGCGCCTAGTGAGAAGTAGACATTTGTAAAAAATTAACAAAGAAACCATGTAATTGGTACTATCATTGTGTTTTCACTCTCCGTTGCCTGCAACAGAATGCATATCCTAAATCCGTAGCTGTCGAGTCACCTGACAACTCCAGTAGGTCGAATGAAGCAGCTCAATCTTCAGAAAGAAGACAGAGTAAAAAGTTCGACAGGTGCTTCAACTAAACTCTAGTCCTAAACACCATAATTTTGGAGATACGTCTAATCATAAAATTCTGGATACTAAATGTTAACAGATATGAAGGTGTGATGTCAGCTGATGCATAGGAAATCCTGATTAATTTTCAAGTGTTGGTTTTGTAGGGATTTGGTTTGATTGTATGGAGGATTTAATCATGAGCTGACATCAGTTAGAGAACCACTGGAAAACCTAGGAGTACCGGACAGCTGTTTCGTCCTAGTTTGGGACTCCTCAGCAGTACGCGCCCACCGGGGTTCGAACCCAGGACCTTCTAATTACAAGGAATGGATATGTATCACTAATTAATAATACTTGGTCAAAGTTCCCGATTGTCTATATCTACTTATGGAGATATTAGAAATGTTTTAAAACTGTTTAATCAGACACTCTGTTTAAAGCGTTTAACAAAGGCAGACTAATATTTGTAAGTCGGAGGTCAAATTTTGATCACAGCTCATACTATTTTGTTTATTATACTTGTTTTATGACTCATGATTGGTCAATTTTTTTTAAAAACAAGAGACGTTCCTCTTATGTATAAACTTCTGTTATGTTAATTTCGATTAATTTCCCTGAAGAAGTTCGGACTAGATTGCCGAACGAAACGTTGGAATTACTCATTTCAATCTCACTGAGATTTTACAAATATATTTTTTTACAAATGTCACACAGTAATATTTACTGATGACGTTTCGAGTACAAATTATTGCTCATAATCATGTCAAGGTACTCATACAACTATCTTGCTTCGTTTATGTACATGAGTAAAAATTGATTAGACATTTGAGTAAAATCAATATAAGACTTGCGTGAAACTGAATGGAGGATAAAGTACACCCGAAAAGAGTAAAACGGTTGTCAATAAATATAATGTGATGGAAATTCAGACGAGTGTTGTTAGTCAATCTACTATGGAAGACACAACTACTAACAACACTCATCTTAATTCATTTCATCATCTAATCAGTCAATGTGTTCATTAGCTAGTGCTTGGATTTTCAAATAATGCGTCCTAATTTCAAAAATCACTCCCGTTTTTTGCCAAAACGCACTGCTGCAAGATCTCATATTCTAATTATTTGAAATCGTGTCATTTCCTTTATCTGCTTTCGCTAAATATCTTAGTTGATTCACTTACATGTTAATGGATCTAAATTTCATCTAGATGTGAATGTACTACAAGAAAGTTAAGACAAATAACTTCAGTTTGTCGATTAACTGATTAGTGTCAAAGTCACAGTTTGGTTTGTTCAACAAAAGTTATAGTCTAAGTTCAGACGTTAATTTCATCTCATAGTTGATTCGTACTTCTTCATTTCATTTCTGGTCATTCGCTAATAGAAACTCGCTTTTTTTGTGTTCTTGGACCTGAATTTATGCTTGTCCTCATTCCTTCTTCATTTTACAGGTTGTCTTAATGGTGGTGGACAAATAAAAGAATTGTTGAAAGAAACGAATGAAGTCTACGCAAGTCTTACAGTTGCTGAACCAATGTCAAACGATTTAGTACAGAGCTTGTATGCATTCATAAAATCACGAGATCCAGACCGAAAAAGTCTACATACTACATACAGACTGTTCCCAAAATTGAAATTATCAATCCCAGTGCTTTAAAATGGTGAATAACAGACTGAATCAGATTATTTGTATTTTCCCAATACAGTTATACTTTCTTGGAAACAGACTTCTTAAAAGATAATATCTCTGAAATACAAGGGATAACTATAGGGTCTTCAGGCTTCCACTCATTTTAGAAAAGAAACTAGGTGAGGCAATTCAAGATGGTCAAACGTATTATTATCCATCTATTTAGTCATGATTAGCAGCATCAACAAGAATCTGACACGCTGTTTCATTACTCTAGGATGTAATTCAAATGAGGAAAAACGTTCTGATCTTAGGAACGTAGTGAATTCTGTTATACCAGAACCAGGCATCGCGGTCATAAAGTTACTTCAAGACTGTGTCAACAGTCATAAATTACACGATTCTAAGTCTCACAGGAAATGTGAATCATGCAGCTCCATTTATGAATTTCGACCCAATTAAATAAACTATCTCAGGGAACACAATCAAATCAAATTCATCCACCTGAGCTACAAATAATCTCTGTTATAAGAAGGCGTAATTTATCTTGAATGTGTCTGTAATGTATCTGCACAACACATTCCGGACATTCTGACTATAAGTACTCACCATACATATTTACATATAAAGGATAACAGATTATAAAGAGTCAAAATGTTTGAGAATCAAGATCACAGTTAAGTAGTTGAAAGTATTACAACGCAACTGGAGGCTTAGTTGGAAAAGTTTATTTTTTTAGGAGGTATGTGGATAATGTCAAAATTATCTGTGACAAGTCGACGGTTTTCACAAAATATCTTAATCAGATGAATACAGTATAAAATAGTATATCGTAAACATATGCAGAAGAAAATAATAACTGCTTGTCACTTTTAGATGTAATCACAACTCGCCAAAAGAGTATGTCAATAAGACGATATTTCTACAGGAAGTTCACCTGGAAGGGACAGTATGCAACTTACTGTAGTTTTTGTCCATTCCAGTATAAGAGAAAGCCTTGGTTAAATACTTGTTCATGTGTGTTCAACGCATACAGAAGATACCCTTGAAAAAAACTTCACTAAATATTTTTGGTTAATAACTGTCCTCTAAAACTTACTGAACACTGTAGAAGCGCCAGATGAAAGACTCCATGAATTCAACCAGCCCTCAAAAAGAGTGTTTACATAACTTTACCTTAAAACGGTGAATTCTAAAGTCTCATAATCAAACAAAGACTTAGAGTGGCATTTAATGGTACTTGCTACACAGCTAAAATCATTAAGTGTTGGTTTGTAGGGATTTAATTGGTTACAGGATTTCATCATGAGCTGACATTTGTTAGAGAACCATTGGAAAACCTGGGAGTACTAGACAGCTGTTTCGTCCTAGTTTGGGGCTCTTCAGCAGTACGCACCTACCGAGATTCGAACCCAGGACCTTCTGGTCACAAGGCGAGCTCGTATACCATTAAACCACTGGGACCCGATCCAATGGCCCATGAATTCTAACTTGTGCCAATTCACGACATAGCGCGACCGCTAGCCAATGTCTTCGGCAAATGTTTCATAGCGAAAATGAAATTTATTTGGTTTTGCAAACCCACTTGGACGGTAGTGTCACACTCCGCTGTGTTTAGCAATTCACAAATACTTGTGTTCACGTGTATAAAGGAAGGAACTACTGACCTCTGCAAGTTAGGGCTACAGAATACCTTGTTTATTTGGCTGCAAGAGGGGATAAAATCGTAGCCGGGGAAATAGATGCCCAACGTCATCATATAAACTTATCCACAAAGTTGATTTCCCTGGTGCCTTTAAACACATATATGCATGATTGAGTCACTTACTTAAATTAGTTGGACATTTACATATGTGTTTATGTGATCAGAAATTACTTGTTACTTTGGACCTACCTTGGTAATCCAGTTTTAAAACCATGGTATATTTTACACAATATTATTTGGCCCCTTTCTTCTAATCCCTTATCTATAACCTTAAGCTGTGAACATTTCAACTCTTTATACCATTATTTTGTACATGCAAGTCCGTAGTTACAGAATGCCCGGAATGTGTTGATCAAATGCATTACATGTTTCAGATAAATTACTTCTTATTGTCTTATGAAGAAATATGTTCTTCATAAGCTTGAAAAGAGGGATAAAATACTTTAATATACGTAAAACTGGGATAGTTTATAATTCCATATTAATTTGTTTATTTGATAGATTACAGTGAAACAGGCTAACGTTTCGAACAGTTTATTGTGCATGATCACATCACAACTTCGAAATCTTACGTTTAAGGTTCGCATTCTCTATTTCTATTTGTCTTAAAAGTAGCAGAATCTTTCAAATATTCTGGTACAGGTATTCCAATCATTCCTGTTGCTCGCGTTCTCACTCGACGAATAAACCTTCAGTTATAAATCACTGAATATTTTTTTCATCGAATCAACACTAAATACAAGCAATCGAAGTGGTGCAACGTCTATACCGCGTATATGGGAAGTCGGAATAAAAAACAAGGGAGCGAAAGTATAGAAGGCAAGTTCTAAAGTCATGTGGATACAATGATACGATCATGAGTAGTAGATTGTGCCCGAAATGTCGTCATTGTTAATACTGTATCAATGTGTGTTGTATCAGATAGACTTATCTAATATGGGATTGTATTCTATCACAGTGCCCAAGTTCTAACTTACTTGTCCCAGACATCTAAAAAGGTTTTAGATCCTTACGATGAATAGGAAGAAATAAGGCGAACCATAACCATCAAGTTCCCAAGTTGTATGGTTACAGTTGATTTGATCATTAAAAATAAACTGTTTTCGAAATACCACCCAGTATATAATACTGTTTGGCTGTGATACATCTGACGAACAAACTAATATGGAAAATTTTAAGTACAGGGAACCGAGTCGATGTACTTTATCAGTTGCTCTTTTGCCAGATAAATATGGACAGCCTACATAGGAAAGCGCGATGCCAAATAGATGTTGCACGTGGGATTAGGAATCCAATATGAACGAATGGTTTGTAGACCTGTTTCGATCATTGGGGACCACCTGATGTACAGGCGTAACAGCGATGCGCAGACATGGTTACGAACTGACCCTTCAAGACTTCCGAGGTTTTTGAGATGGTGCTGGGTGTATTATACTACTAAATGCTTTACATTCGAATTTACACAGGTTTTCAAAAAGTCTTCAGAGAGAAAGAATGACATCTGCTAGTGATAATGATTACCACAATCTGATCAGAATTAAATCGTTGTCAGAAGACATATTGGAATTAATTATAGTAGTAGTTACTATTTATCATCAGGACAGTGAATTTCTGAATTCGATCTATTGATATAAGGACAAAAGTTGGGCACTGTGGTAGAGTACAACCCCATTATGGATAAAATTTTATTTTGATAAAATCACAGTAATATTTACTGATGACGTTTCGAGCACAAATTATCTCTCATAATCATATCAAGGCATTCACACAACTTTCTTGCTTCATTTATATACATGTGTAAAACATGATTAGACATTTAAATAAAAATCAATATAAGATAATGTACGTTCAGAAATAATGTTAGTGTTATCAATCTAGTACAATCAGATGGGAAATAAGACGAGTGTTTTTATAGTCAAAATAAGTAACTTGTTAGAATGTTGTAATGTACGTGAATTGAAATAGATTTCTGAGATTACTTATTATCCTCCTCTGATTTGACTGGTGGTAATAATATCTTCCATATCCCTGGTATTTGCATTGAGCCATTTGTGTTACATGTGTTGGGGGTAGACCAGATGAACCAGGATCTGCAGTTTTACCAAATAAGGAGACATCTGAAACCCTGCGTAGAATTCTTAATAAGGTAGGAATTAGGGTGCCATTCAAACCTACAAATTCACTTAGAGACAAACTCTGAAGGCTAAAAGACCCGATGGAGCCAATTAAACAAAATAACATAATTTACAAAATACCCTGCAATGAGTGTCAGTTAGGTGAACTACATAGGTCGAAATAGTAGATCAGGAGTAGTGAGATCATCAGAACATAAGCATTTAGCCAAGGTTAGAATAACTGAACCCACAAAGATAAGTAATTTAGAAAAAAACTCAGCAATCCCACTGCATGCATTAACACACAACCACACAATAGGGTGGGACGGAGTCAAATTTCTAAGAAGTAATATAGGGAGGTGGAGAGAGAGAGATTGAATACTGAATCCTGCCTGGTTCATCGAGTCTACACCCAACACATGCAACAGGAATGACTCGATGCAAATGCCAAAGATATGGAAGATATTATTACCACCAGTCAGTCAAATCAGGAGGATAATAAATAATCTCAAAAGTCCATTTAAATTCACGTACATCATAACACTCTAACAAGTTACTTATTTTGACTATAAACGCATCTTATTTCCCATCTGATTATATATATATACATATATATGGTCGGCCTGCAAAACTTGGGCTGCTGATATCACATACTGAAAATTCCATAACTGTACGAAAAAATACGGTGTGGAATCAAACTGTAATCAAAAATAAAAAACATACGTGGATATATATAACGTAACCAAGTTTTATTCGTTTTTAAGACAACTTTGTACATATTAGATATAACTTATACACATAAATGATAGTTGGGAATAAGAGACAAATTACCAACCAAAACTTTCAAAAATAGAAACCAATGTATGACAGGATGGATTGACGAGAATAGAAGAAGCTGATCAATCTAACAACATAAGACTTGACAAAGTAAGCTTAAGCGTATTTAGAATCAGCCTGTTGGATATATGACACTGGACTTTGCATTCATTGTCATTTTTTTTATTCAGAAAATAGTTAATCAATGGACTATATGCACTAGCGTTTAATATCACCAGCCATGAGAACCATAATGTCTGCACCTTTTTTAGAGTGATTTTGTTTTAACATGCTACTCAGAGTTTTCAAACGATTTAGCAGATCAGCATAATTGAATATTCCCCGTTCATCATCAAATGGATCAACCATACGCTGGCCTGACAAATGCATATTTCGTTCACAGACACCAACGTAGTAGTCGTAATAGTCTTCGAAGCTAGATTCCACCACTGCATATAAATCTGGAGGAAATGCTGTACGGCGCTCCAAAACATCACATACTGCACATCTAATGGTTTCGTGTGCAATTATCGTATTATATTGTTGTGCGTCTCCTGGATTTCGTTCAGTACTAAATCCTGGCTCATTGTAGTATGGTTTGTCAGTCATTAATGACTGAATGGATATTAAGACCGACGATAAACTTTGTGCTGGTGTCCATTCAGGACCCTGCCATGTACCAAGAACGCTTAGACACACCTAGATAAACAAAATAAAATAAAAACCGCACATGAATATATCTTACGTTTAATGGGAAGCATTACTAACGATTTAGATTACAAACAATATTGGAAGTGATACACGATAATTTGCATTAACCAAGTCATTGAGACGAAAAAATTAATCTGTGTGATATGTCACGTTGGTTAACAGTTTCAAAGTGCATGCACATATTTAAGCACAGTCCTTATTCTTCGTATATGTATGCGTGTATTCTCTCATTTCTACACAGTCGCTTCTTGTTCTACTTTATCTGAATGGGTTATGCTTCAGTAAAGTGGTAAAACATTTTAAACGATTTTGATAATATCAGTTGCTTAAGCATAACAATGTGTGGGGGAGGGTTGGTATCTCTCAAACTCTTTTAAGCTTAACTGGCATTCTTATAAATGAAATAAGAATCTTTTAGTACTGGCGTTTTATCTTGATTTTATGGTAATTTCATCCTCCGTCACACAGTTTGTGCACTTCAATTTTAAATGTACACACAGACTACTAATCTTGATAAGTTTCTCAGTTAGCACGTATTTCAATGGTCTCTGTTAAGTTCTGTATTTCATGACTGTCCTAAACAATTCAGTCACTTTTAGCATGACACTTCTAGAGTACCCAGTCAAAAATTAGATTTTTTCCAACAATGTATTTTTTTCGGATTATGGAAGCCAAATTATAATGGTGCATGAAGCCTAAAGCTTAACTGCATAATACAGGAATACAGACTCATGAACGCTTTGTTTTTGCAGTACAAAAGCTTGTACCTATTTTCCTTTGAATAACAGATTACTATTAATTAGTGTTAATTTTTAAAAGTCATACTCACCTTTCCATTGGAATAGAAATTTGGATTAAACCTCACAGTACCATTTCCAGTAGTCATCAGCTTCACTTTTGGCGGTACAAGTGGGTATTCAGGTGGAAATCGTATCATAAACAAGAAAAAACCACCTTCATAAGGTGTGTCGAAAGGCCCTGTGATTAGCGCATAGATTTTCGTCATATCATCACTATCAGGAACTACACATATCCCAGGAGCAGGATCACTATCTACGATAGAAACTTATTGAGATATCTTACTTGCATATGGAACGCAAATCCTTAGTTATCCGTAAAAGACAGTCACCACTAACAGGAAGTTCGTTCCCTCGATGTTCTGGATCCCAACTGGCAACACTCTGAGATAAATAATGCTGGAAACCTGGGGGTCCTTTTTCTTTGGCTGAGTCCATTTAAGAAAACAAACGAAGTCAGTTACAAGTAATGAGATCTAAAATTACGAATGATATAAAAAATAAATACTTTCTAGTCACTAATATTTCTGATGTTCGTACTAAGCTTTCACCCGAATGTTTTTGGACACATACCGCTTCTTATGCGTCTTATGAGAATACGACAAGGCATATATAAAAATCTATCTGAATTGTGAAAAGTTGCAACCAAACTCACTTTAGAAATAAATAGTGAAGTCTTGGGAAAACTATACCAAAATCCAACACCTGAACTACGAAATCCCTATTACATCTGAATAACTATCATACTAATCACTTTAACGCAATTCACGTGACAAATGAGCTTTGATTAGGGTGTTCAGACGGTTAGTGTACACTTACTTAAAAAGACTAAGTCATTTGTGTGCCTTGAGAAAACAGGAACTTCACTAGGTGGATAGTTAACTTATAGTGTGTCGAAGTAAGATAGAAAAGTCTGTCAGCACACCTAACACGGGTGACACTCTTGATAAGCAGCAGTGGTTATCGCCACAACGACACTCCATGGGTTTTCTCACGACTAGGTGAGTCCCAGTGTGGAACCATTCTTAAGTACTTCTGGAGTCAAAAAATAATGGTCTGCAGTTCTTCCATATATTCAACAAGAGATTGCTTCCACAACCTGAAACAAACCTAGTTAGCCGATGCTTAGTCAGCAAGTCTAGCCTGACAGCTTGAAAATCTCAAATTAAAATCCCAGCTCTCCCACAAAGACTTCTTGAAGCTCTATTTCAAGAGGACCCTTCAATTACCAAAAGCTTTCTAGAACCTGTTTTCATAATAAGCCAAAATAATCAGTCGGTATTAACTATGAGAAGAAAGTGGAAATCTGTTGGCGACTGCTTTGTCTCAGCTGCCTATACTGTGAAAATCAATTTCTCCTAGTGGTATCTCATTAAAATAAAGTTCAACTTCACGCAACTCGATATGAAACCTGTATAAAAGATAATTAAAGATATTATTTGTGGATTTTGGTCAGTATGAGTCTTACTGTTAAACATGGACTTCTGTAGAGTAACTTGGAATGAACAACAGGGGATCTTTCTTGACTCCTTTTTCCCAAAACAGGAAAGTATCAGAGTAATTAACTCACACTGCGGCATCATATTATTTAACATTAACCACTGCTTAACAGACGTTTCCGCCTTGATTTAGTCAGTTTGGCCTGTTGGGTAATTGTAATGTGTAATTCTAATCGCCATAATGTAGCGTGTCCAGTACTTACTGTAAATATTTCCGATGCTAATTGTTATAGTTGACTTCATAACCAGTTATGGACGGATGTACCTAGAATGTATGTTGGTGTCTAAACAACAGTGGACGTTAAATTCAAAGTAGAAAGCTGTTTTAGTAAGCAACAAAACACTAAGGTAAATATCCCTCAGAAAGTAGTGTTTGTTATCATTCTTGCGAGAAAAAAAACTAGAAAGACATCTACTGAGAAAAAAGTAAAGACATTTCAAGTTTGGTCGCAGACTGATATCAGTTAGAGAACCACTGAAAACCAGGGAGCACTGGACGACTGCTTTTTCCTAGTTTGCAACTCACAAACAGCACACACACTAACTGCAGATTATTTAATTGCACCGTGGAGTGAATAATGATACTGCGTCTTAGAACAATGAAAATAACGTGTCCACTCAACACGATTACTTTCTATTTTTAATCCTATCATATGAGAAAATAGAGTAGTTCTCTGACCAGGATTTTTCTGCATCGACGACCCACATAGAAATAGTGAGTTACGTGGTTGTACGGACTTTCCGGTTCATGCACTTTTAATCACACAGTAGGTAGTCACAACCGTATTGTGGTCAGTTTCATATGAAATAGTGATTGCGAAATTAATAACATATTTCTTCTCCAGATTATCGAAATCAAAATAATAGGTGCACGTCGACTGTCGAATATACACACAGAATGGCGAAATTTTCCATTAACTCAGCTAAGCGCGAACAAGCTACTTGGAGAATCAAGTTTAGATAATGGATTGTAATAATTTCGAAATTTAGCAAAGGTCCAACATAATTCCAAGGATACATACCTGTCTACAGTTTAAATGAATGCGACGACAGTTAGCAAGCAATCATAAAATGAATAAACTGCCGAAATTTCCGGTCAGACAAAACTGGTATTAAAACGGGTGAACTATGAGCATGGCCCAAAGTAAGAAAATAGACTTTACGACGAAATTTCCACTATTTCGACAATTATTTAACCAGTACTCTAACATCCTTACCATTAGCCAAAACTGCCTATTTTATCCATTAATTAATTACTCTTTTCACATTTCTGCCAGACTAGGTTACCAAAATCAATAGCGTCATTATGTTGTGGAACTTGTTAACCTGTAAACCAACTAAATGCCAACGATTTTTATAATTGCTAGTGTTGATTTTCTGTAACAGGTGGAAGAGCGACTCTTCAGTTTTAATATACGGTATAACAGCAGAGCATATGGCCTATTTCATATACACCGAAATTCGGAGAAAAAAAAAGCATACCAAACATGTTTTCCCGCAAAGTTTGGCGCAATCAACCTTCTCCACAAGTAGTTTCACAGCAGGTATACGGCGCGGTATGCAGTAATGAACGACAAATTGGAAATACGAGTGAAGTCAAAATTGTGACATAAGGCAAATGTATCGCAGTATTTATACTGAGTGGCAGAAATTCAATGTCTGTTTCGTGCATTTCTACTGAATATTTATTATCATAATTTGTTTGCAGTCTGCAAATTAACATTTTTCACGTTACCTTCTACTGTTCTAATGGCTAGTTACTGCCTCTTTTTGCACTCTGCAAAATATGCTGTGTCAATATGCATCCCAAGTCTTTTCTTTCGCCTTCTGACGTCACTTTATTGTGTACTGATATAAAACAACTTTGGACGTTTCAGAAATTGTAAAAACAGTTTAGCTTAAGTGTGCCCTGAAATATTTCGGTTTTATCAAGTGATAACTTCAAACGAGTAGTTCGGAGTCTGTGATAACCCTTCCTGTGCTTGGCCATGAATGTTTTGTAATATTTAGAACTTGTAGAGTACAGTAAAGGCCTGTGTGACCTCTCGACATAGCTCTACTCCTATCAGTGCTAAATAAAAGCAGGTTTTCAACAGGCCTCCCACAAACATTTTAATTGTCATTCGGGAGATAAGATACATCCTTGATCCAAACTTCGCCTAGTCGTAAGGTAGTCCACAGTTGACAACTTGCGAATTCCAGGCAGTAGACCTAGCGAAATACTTCGTTGCCAAAAATCACCTAAACAGAACAGGGCCAAATTTATTAAGTTGCTTTTACTTCATGTCAAAATTCTCGAAAACAGCCGTATGCCTCAAGAGTTAGGTCTCGTCCCTTCATGGTCACCGCTATGAAGAGTGGCCTACAGTTAGAGGGATCGTATCTCTTACAATTCTGTGGTCTGATTATCTACTTGTACAGTCTTTAGATCACCGTGAATGTGCATATCTTTCAGTAGCCGTAATTGCTATATTCTCCTGCTGCTAGTTGTGGTGGTGTTAAGGTCACCCTTGATACAAGTTTTTACGGTCCAGGCTAAAGAGTTGTCAATTAGTATGGTTATAGTCCAGATGTAGCACGATAGGAGGCCACGAGGCAGTCTTCTGAATTATTTCTAGTTGAGGCCAAACAAAACTGTGCAAGCAACTGGATTAAGATACTTCCTATTTTCGGCCTTACCTTTTGTTTCAACTGATACCTGGAATTCTGTAGTTTGCGACCTCACCACAGTGAATGTTTTCGTGGAACTGCGCCTTCATGCCTCACGTTTTAATAACTATCCCGACATTATCTTATGTCAGGAAACTATTCACAGTTTGAAATGAGACGGTGAAGCTTTTATATAAAACAGTGCAAAAGCTTGTGATTCTGATAACTGCGCTTGAGGCAGTGAACTCATAATAACTTCCACAGGTATTGGTAGTGTATTTCACCTGATATTGATTATTATTCTGAACAATATTACCGCGGAAACAGTTCAAATTTTGAACCAGATTCACTTCATTTACAACTCACTCGCCTAGGTTATTCCACAGAAATGTCAACTCGAACTTCTTTCTTAATACAGATGTCATAGGAACATTCCTCTTAAACACTAAGGATATTTGTTTCCATCTGGCTTTGTTTTCGTAGGTGGCGGATTAGTGAGAGCTGACTAAGAACAAGCCAAAATTGCACGCAACAATTTACGTCAGTGTTACGTTCGAAATAAGGGTCATGAGAAAAGCGATAACACAGCTTAACCTCGAGTAACTCACCAGCCAATTACAGCGGACTTAACGCGCGAAAATTGGATCCACAGATATATGGCTTAACTTTCTGAGAAACTGTCATAAGCTGTACAGAATAACCATGAGCAAAAAACAACCAATCAGAAGACGTTGATTCTCCGCTGGCGGTAATGTTAAAAAAATCTATAAATATCTCTTGATTTTCTTGGTATACAAACCGTTGCTTGGCTGCTGTCTTCTGTCATTACAATGACATAATATTCGTGTACGTCCACTGGATGATATTTTGCATTAAATGATCTGCGTGATCTAAATTCAGAATTTCCATCATCTTTCAAGATAAAATTTACGAATCTATTTCCACCGGCAGTTCCCACTATGGGTGAGGAATCTGAAGCTCAGTTACTGACTTCCCAGTTCATCGAGTGTTCCAGACCACGTTACTCAGCAAATACAACAATCAGCATAAATGGGAGGAACCTGAAAGACCTCCTTTACCTACCTAACTGGGAAGCATCGTTTCAACTACGGGTGGAACCGACGAGGATATCAAAGCCAGAATCGGAAAACCAAGACAAGCTTTCATTACTCTGAAGCCTGTGGGGAGGTCAACAGCACTCCTCAACATGAATAATAAGATCCGGATTTTCAACTCCAATGTGAAGTCAGTGCTACTCATTATACGGATCAGACACTTAGCGCGTCATAAAGAGCATCTCAAACAAACTACAGACCTTCATCAACAGTTGTCTTCTCTCAACACTCAGGATTAGATGGCTGGGCAGAAAAGATCAGCAACAGGGGTCTCCGGGAGCGAACCAACCAGGAACCGATTGTGAAACAAATGGGCGGGAAGAAATGGAGATGGATTGGCTGGCCATAGTCTGAGGAAAACCATCAAGTGACATCCTAGACAAGCCATAGCTCGAGTGGAACCCGAAAGGGAAGCGGCGAGTTGGTCGTCAGTGCAGGGGTGACTTGGAGGAGGTCATATGAAGAGGAGATGAAAGCCTGTGGGTAGACTTGGAGTGGGGTGAAAAGTTGGCAGAAAACAGAATTCAATGCCGGCGGGCGGCTGAAGCCCTATGTTCCTCTAGGAATTAAAGGATATAATAATAAATAATAATACAACTGGTTAACGCTCTGCAACCGATGGACGAAGTTGACCAAACAACTGCTAAGCACAACAGTAGCCGCAACGGAGCCACAAAGGTCAAACTAATGCGAACATAACATTGAAGCGTTGCAGCATTACGTCACGGCGTTAAGGATGAGTGACAGGAAAGACCGATGTTTTGAATGTGGTTACCCCGGGCACTGGAGTAGACACTTCTCAAAAAGGCTGAAAGGAAAAGGTTTTAGACAGTATCATATGTGTTCTTTCTCCCCTATTAAACTTGACGTAGCTATTGAGAAAGGGGCTGTGTATTTGAAGTTACAAGTAAATGATCGAGAAGTGGTATGTTTAGTAGATAGGGGGTTGGCTGTGTCGCTAATAGATAGCAACTTATGTAGGCGTGTCAGCCAATGTTCATTGACAGTGCAAACTGTAGGCGGACACGTGTTACACATCACCAGTAGATTGAACTGTAGAGTCGTTGTTGGTAGTTGCGAGGAAACGTTCCCCTTCATTGTTGCGCCTGAATTACAGCGGACGATACTTAGGGCGGATTTTCTGCGGGAAATTATTGCGATAATCGACATGCAGGCGAACGTTGTGATCAGGAAATATGGACATATCAGCATGTTTAAGATCAGCGGGATGGCAGGGGTTAAGCTGTCAAGGGTACACAATATGACAGAGTTAATTAATAAATGTGAGCATCTGTTCACTGGAGATGGGGTCCAGTACGATTATTGAGATAAGTTAGGTCATGAAATTTCGTTTAGTGGCCTGAAAGTAACGTCATTTACAACGCAGAGTCCCACGTCAATTGGAAGGCGAAGTTGAGCGACAACTGCGGGAGAAGTTAAAAGATGATATTATTAAAAGAGGCAACAGCCCGTACAACTCTCAGGTTCTGTTAGTAAAAATGCGAATGGGAACTATAGATTCTGCGTTGATTTTCAACAGTTAAACAATATGACAGAGTTCAGACCATATGCCATGCCACTGGTAGTAGAAACTTTAGACTGTCTCCAGTTTGCAAATTTGGTCTCGGTTCTCAATCTCCGCTCAGGATACTGGCAGATGCCGATAAAACAAGGTGATGGATATAAGACGGCATTCACCATGGTTCAGACACAATATCGATTTAAACGCATACCGTTTGGACTAGCAGGTGCACCGTTTACGTTCAGACGACTGATAACGCTATTACTTAAGAACTTGAAAAACGTGGAGGTGTACGGTGATGATCTCGTCATATATAGTCAAAATTAAAACGGCCATGTGAACCATGTAGAAGCCGTGGTGCGACGCGTCGAAGAGTTTGGCCTGCTTTCAACAAAACCAAGTCTCAGAGAGTCAAAAAGAATGTTAATCTATCGGGACATAAAGTGGGAAATTATGGGAATAAACGGCTGCGGGAGAAAAAATGTTGACGAAAAAGGCAATTCCGGCCTCAAATTTAAAGAAAAATTGTGACAATTCTTGGGTGGAACAGAGTTTTATAGTCGGTTCGTGAACCCTTTCTGTACAGGCTACTAGATGTATCTCAGTTTGTTTGACCGGAAGAGTCGCAGAAGACATTCGACAGAAATAAACAGCTACCCGACTGCCAAAAAGTGACGCCAAAGCTACCCGTACCCGGAAGACAGTTCACGGTGTGCACTAATGCTAGCGACTACGCTATAGGTGCGGTCCTAAGACAGGGTGAGGGAGTCGCTGAAAATTCCACACACGCACCAAAAATACGGTGTGGAATCAAGCTGCAATAAAAAATATATTGTATCAAACCGCGATTACCGAAGCACAAAGAGACCTGACCCCTTCACCAAAAGTGGGGTTTGACGAAACCGAGGGCAGAACGGAAAGAAGCAATCTGTCAGTGTAGTTGAAGATTGAACGATCAATTCATGGTTGTTTGCTCAAACCCAACTCCTCCATACTTTTCGTGAGAGTCATCAATACGGCAGCCATCGTCTCATCGTTCGCTGTTCAGAGGAAGATAAAGAACTATCAGAAGTATTATCGTGATCTATTGTTATAACATTTATTCTTAGACCTTGTGTATAATAACCTTATTGCTGGTCACATATTGGAGTAGGAATAAAGGATTCTCAAGCCGCCAATCTGTGTTCTGGTTTTTCGCGTTGGTTATTGCATATTGTTTCTGAAAGTCTTCCAGGGACAGCGTGAGGTCCAGCGTAGTAAGAGCTGGACATTGACAGTTTCTGACATTGACCTCCTTGTATCAGCTATATCCTCAACTCTCAACGGCGACACGCCCGTGACATTGTATCGCGGAATTTGGATGACTAACATATATA